TACCACTATTCCCCATCCCCATTTTTTATTTCATGTATTTTCCTTTCCAAACTTCTGTTTCCATGCTTCTTGATCATGTGCTTCGACTTTCAGTTCCTGTATTTTCTCTTCTCGCGTAAGTCGTCAATCGTCTGCATTCTTCTCCTTCCCATCCTTTTGTTACTTTATTTTACCCTCGAAGACGTCATGTAGAAGGCACTGTTTTTGCAAAGAGGTCCGATCCAGTTTCCTTTTCTTCTCAGAATTGTGCTCAGTAGAGTCCTTTTCTTGGAGGTAATTAGAAGATTACGTCCAAAATTTTTCTTTTATTTCTTAGAACACTCAGTGTATCATTAAAAGCATCTGTAGCTTTATTCAAATCGATTGAGCTCGATTGCAGAGTTCTGCTTAAAGATACAGTAATACCTGAAAAATAAAAAGTAAGTTACTGTGACTGCAGTGTATAAATTAATGAATTTGTGACAATTATAAATTATACACCCACCTAATACATCACTTAAGCAGTTGGAGGATATAATAAAGTCAAAACTGTGTAATGTTTGCAGCAAGCAATGTGCTTTATTGGCAGTTTTATTGTCTTACCAAGCAGAAATCTTCTACAGAGCGCTACAAATTTTAATTAAGTTGTCACAAATACCTTGCATGACAGCCCCAAGTTCTTACTTAAAAATTGCTTAGCAGGTGCATTGGCAAATGTCACAACTTTTCTCATTATGCCAGATGGATTGGGACAGGAAACTAGATTTTGCTAGTGCATTATTGAGCTCTATTGCAAGGTTCTACTTAAAGATACAGTAATACCTGAAAAATAAAAAGTAAGTTACTGTGACTGCAGTGCATAAATTAATGAATTTGTGACAATAATAAATTATTCACCCACCTAATACATCACTTAAGCAGATGGAGGATATAATAAAGTCAGAACTGTGTAATGTTTGCAGCAAGCAATGTGCATTATTGGCAGTTTTATTGTCTTACCAAGCAGAAATCTTCTCCAGAGCGCTACAAATTTTAATTAAGTTGTCTCCTTGAAACTGTCTACCGAGCGTGTTTCACAAATACCTTGCATGTCAGCCCCAAGTTCTTACTTAAAAATTGCTTAGCAGGTGCATTGGCAAATGCCACAACTTTTCTCATTATGCCAGATGGATTGGGACAGGAAACTAGATTTTGCTAGTGCATTATTTAGAACATGATTGTTGCATGGGCAACGTTTAGCATGGATCGCAATGTTCATTAACTTCTTCACTGCACCTTTTGTATTTGATGCGTAGACCTTATACAATACAATTGTATAAGGTCTATGATTGGATGCCATAACCGAGCAGTTGTCAGTTCCAATACTCACACACAAAGATAGATCTAAATTGTATTTGGTACACAAGTTTTGAAGAATTTTTGCTAATATTTTACCTGTCAATCTAAACTCTATGTCACCTAAATTATTGTTTTCATCGCAAAAAGTCACAAAATGTTGCTTAATCATACCATTATGAAAATGACGTAATGAGTGGCTCAGCTGTGAGAAATGTGATATATCCGTGGTTTCATCAAACAAAATTGAAAAATATCTGGTTTCCCGCACATTCTTTAATATAGTTTCCTGTATGACTTCTGCACACACATCATCACATCATCACATTTTCAAGGTTTTTTGGACATGTCCACAGCAAGCGCAGTCATTTTCACGACCTGGTAATGGTGATTATTTTATTTGTATTAGATAAAAAGACTTAATAATATAATTATTTGTTAGATTTTACTATAATGTACCTGAAGCAAATACTGGCTCTCTCAGACATGACACTGTACCATTGCAGAGATGGCATGACTGGAACAAAGATTTCAGCGCTTTCATCGGGCTCGATATACTCTGCTATGACTTCATGGGCATCAATAATCATGTTGCTCCATACTTCTGAGAGAACTTCTCCAGCCTTCTAAAAATTTAATTTCTCCAGATTTTCATTTTTTGTTTTTCCTTGCTCATCTAAGTGTGTACCGAAGTGATCATGAGGAAGTATGAGACCAGATACTTCATGGGCATCAATAATCATGTTGCTCCATACTTCTGTGATAAATTCTCCAGCCTTCCGGAAATTTAATTTCTCTGGATTTTCATTTTTTGTTTTTACTTGCTCATCTAAGCGTGTACCGAAGTGATCATGAGGAAGTATGAGACCAGATACTTCATGGGCATCAATAATCATGTTGCTCCATACTTCTGAGAGAACTTCTCCAGCCTTCTGGAAATTTAATTTCACCAGATTTTCATTTTTTGCTTTTCCTTGCTCATCTAAGCGTGTACCGAAGTGATCATGAGGAAGTACGAGACCAGATACTTCATGGGCATCAATAATCATGTTGCTCCATACTTCTGCGAGAACTTCTCCAGCTTTCTGAAAATTTAATTTCTCCAAATTTTCATTTTTTGTTTTTCCTTGCTCATCTAAGTGTGTACCAAAGTGATCATGAGGAAGTACTAGACCAGATAATTAACGGCTTAAAAGACGCCATTCTTCTCTCAACGCGGTTGAATGCGCTTCTGCCAGGTGCATTTGTAAGGACGAATATTCCATCAAGATTGTTCTTGACAAAGTGGTTTATGGCATGGGCAATAACTTTGGGATACCTTGAATTTTCGTCGAGCCCTTAAAGGCGCCATTTTTCTCTCAACGCGGTTAAATGCGCTTTTGCCAGATGCATTTGTAACGACGAAAATTGCATCAAGATCTTTCTTGACAAAGTGGTTTATGGCATGGGCAATAGCTTTGGGACCCCCATCAGCTGATATGAAAACCACTGGTTTCATGTGTCCTTCTTCACCTCGCATATTTTCTTTAAAATTATCGAGAGCAGCAAGCTTATCCAAGTCTACAGCATGAGTGGAAGCTGTCGAAAAGGAGCGTTTTCCACTTCTGATCGCTATGTATGTTGGCCCTGAATATGAGACTGCCTCTCGGCCCATATTATTTTCTTTTTCAACCAGCATATACGCTACGGATCAATTTATGCCTCAAACCAACGACCCAATCATGATCAGGCAATGAAATCCTGTAGTCAACATGCATCAAGAGCGGGGGTTGCTTATTTGCCGCTGTCAAACCTATTCACACCCGGGATTTATCATCCTGCGACAAAAAGCACACTTGTTTTGGCACGAGAATAGATGCAAGCGTCTCCAATGATTTTACTGTGGAGACACAAAAATGTTGATCAGGATGAGGGATGAGCCTTGTGGTGATCCTCCTCAGGACAACTCAATTTTACTAGCACAATAGCTACATGCCCTTTACCTTCCAAGTTGGTGTAATTTCTCGGAAGTAACCAAAGGTATGTGCCACTTTTTGATATTTGGAATCCTTGCTCTTTTAACTTTTCATGAAGAGGTACGTGAGTGTTCGGCAACTACGAACCATCTCTGATCGACGCCGTTCTTCCGCAGAAGCCCCCAATATAGCCAAATCAACTATTGTTTTTAATAATAGTGGTTGTTGATCTTCCTTTGGCTATTTTGGGACTCTGATTGCATGTGAGTTTAATTTTAGTTTTAACCAATTGCCTATGTGATTGAGAATGCCGTATATGTCGCTCTTCTTTCCTTAACTCTCTTGTTGATTTATCTATTTCTCTGCTCAATTTGATCACTTCGCGCATATCATTTTCACTTGCACCCAGAGAATCTCTACGGGGAACTGCCAAGTTCTAGTTTAAAACCGAAATTTGTTTTTTCAGTTTGTCCCATGTAGGCGTAGCACGTAGCTTGCTATACTTGGTGAATTCTCTTTGCTAGATTCCAAATCTTCAAAGTTTTCGAGAACCTAAAATTGTCGACATTTAAACGCAGAGAAAACATTTAAATTAATGTTAGAAGTTTATATGCAATTATCATTTTGAATAATTACATAAATTGATCTAGTGTTACTACCTGTTGAAGTACTTTTCAATATTGTCATTGCCTTCGACAGTACTTTCAGCACAGATCGGTGAGACACTGGTCATGGGAAGTTTTACAGGTAATTTCTGCTCATTTCATGTCAAAGACAGAATGCTATTTTCAGTAGCATTCTAAAATTTTAGTAATTATATCAATATTATGATAATTGATCATATATTACTTAATTAGTTGCAGCAGTCCTTAGAAGGGGTTACTTTCAGTTTGAAACATAGTTTGAATCTATATTTTCATGTAAAAACGAATGACTACTGCTTGATATTAGGTTGTCCGTAACGGAGATGGAATACAAGTTAATGCTACGAAGCAATTAAAAAATAATCTGAGCTCAAAATTTAATTTAAAATTGTTAAAAATAATTAGGAAAATATTTTCCAAATTATTAAAAATGTTGCAAAATTCAATATTTATACTTCAAATATATAGTATGTATTATTATTTATTAGGAGAATATCCTTCATAATGTTTATGCTCTACGTTAAAAATATATACACATAAAAATGTAAATGTAATTTTTTTTAATATATAGTGTAATTTTTTTCGATTCATTAATACATTTCACAAAAAATTCAGTATTCATTTTAATTAATAAATTTATTTATAATACATTTCACAAAATATTATCAATTTATTTAATAAATAAAATGTAATAATGCATCAAAAAAAATTCAATATACATTAAAAAAAAAAACAATTACAATTTCATATGTACCACATATTTTTACAAATTGAATTTTCGGTTATTAATGTTACAAATGATCAATCGAACTGAAAAGTAATTTTTGGTTTCAAGATTAATGGACGCCACCTTAAAAGCTATTAATTGAAAACATAACAAATTTTTTTTCATACCACAGAAATTAATTTTGTTGACTATTATAAGAATAGTGTCTATTTAAAGTCTTATTGCAAATCTTGCACTTGGGGGGAGCATTCTCTTGCATGAATTATTTTGTCATTTTATTGCAAATATTTTATTTCACATTTATGACTGCTTTCTCCAGTATTAACTACTTCATGTTTTTATTCAGTTTGTTCTTCAGTAAGAAAAATGTTATGCTGGTTTAATTATTGTTTTAACTTGTGAGGGTTTTCTCCAGCATGCACTTTAGAATGTTTTCTTAATTCGACAGGTGCTATAAATCCTTTATTGCATATCTCACATTTGTAAGGGCGTTCTCCAGTATGAATAAATTCATGTCGTAATAATCCTTGGTTTGTTGCAAATACTTCATTGCATGTTTTACATTTATTACTGCTTTTCCCGGTATGCAATACTTTATGCTGGTATAATTCATGTTTTGATCGGAATGTTTCATTGCATATTTCACATTTGAAAGGACGGTTACCAGTATGAATAATTTGATGTCGTTCCAATGAACTTTTCAATGAAAATGCTCTATTGCATATTTCACATTTATGATGTTTTTCTCCAGTGTGCACTAGCGAATGATATTTTAAACCACTTAATAGTAAGAAACTTTTATTACATATATCGCACTTATGAGGACGATCTCCAGCATGCCCTCTTTCATGACGTTTCAATGCATCTTGTGTTGTAAATGGTTTATTGCAAATACCGCATTTATAAGGGTGCTTTCCAGTGTGGGTAAATTCATGTGAGATTAATGCATGTTTGCTTGACAATGCTCTATTGCAGATCTCACATTTATAAGATTGTTCTCTGGTATGGATTGTTTCATGTCGTTTTAAATATTCATTTGATGCAAACGTTTTACTGCAAGCATTACATTTATATGGGCGCTCTTCGACATGGACAAATTGATGTAGATTTAATGCTTGTTCAGTGGTGAATGTTTTATGGCAAATTTCACATTTGAAAGAATGTTCCGCAGTATGAATACTTTTGTGAATTCTTAATGATTGTTTTGATTTGAAAGCTTTACTGCATATTTCACATTTATGTAGGCGATCAACAGCGTGCACTGCTGAATGTCCTCTCAAAGCGCTTGATTGATTAAATGCCTTATTGCATATCTCACATTTATATGGGCGCTCTCCAGTATGTATTAATAAATGTTTTTTTAAATGATCTGATAATGAAAATCTTTTATGACATATATCACACTCATGAAGGCGTATTCCAGTGTGTAATAATAAATGTGTTCTTAAATGATCTGGTCGCTTAAATCCTTTATCGCATATCTTACAAATGAAAGGGCGGTATTCTTCGTGCAATGATGTATGTTTATTGAAAAGATGTAATTGTGTAAACTTTTCATTGCATTTTACACAGTTATAAGTTGTTTGATACTCTTCTGATTTACTTACTAATTTACTTGCATCACTAATTTCTTCACTATATGCAACAGGTTTTTCATGTTGTTCATCAATTGTTTCTTCTTGTTTTATTTCTTCTATAGTTACCTCAGATTTTAAAAATCGCTGTAGATATAATTGATTATTTTCCTTTATATCTTCATAACCTTTAAATTCTTGATTCACTTCAGGATAATCATCAAGTTCTTGTTTAATTTGAGGATATTCGATAGGCTCAACTTTAACTAATGCAGTTGTACTTGTTCCTTCTGACATTTTGGGCGGTGAAAGTCCTAAAAAAATATAATTTGCTGTAAGTATAAATAAATAAAATAAATAAATAACCGAACTGTACTAACTTCTTTGTTATTTTATGTATACAAGTGTATTCATGCAAACAAGAGATTATAATAATAGTTTACGCATATTGCAATCCTTTAAATAATTGATGATATTTTACTTTTTCTATTGAATTAATAATAATAATCAAAACAATATTTTCATTTACCACGTGCATATAAAATGGCGAACGAGCTTTGACATTTCGTGTCGATGGCTGAAGCATAGAGAAAGGCTCGATCCAAACCATAGATATCCCTTAAATGTGAAGTACGCCACAACACATTTGAAATGTTTTTTTTTTTTTATTTTATTTTAATAATTTTTACAACTGTCCTGAAACGGACAACAAGTAAAATATTTGACATGAAACTGAAGGCGTTGGCAAAATACAAATCATCTGACCATTGCCAGTGATTTGTCGAATGGTCTCATCTATTGTTGATTAGTGCAGAAGAAATTTTCTTTTTAATCGGGCTCTGGTAGAGTTGATTTGAAGTTTTCTCGCGAGCAAGTTCGGGTGGTCAGCTAGGCGATTTCTATATTTGTGTGAGTAAGCGCGTATTTCATCCTTAACTATGCTGGTGCCTGAGTCTTTGTGTATTAACCAATTTGGAACATACTTTGGTGCTTTCAAAATTTCTTTTAATAACTTGTTTTGAAATCTTTGAATTATTAAAGCGTTTGAGTTGGAAGTTGATCCCCATAGCTGTATGCCGTATGTCCAAATTGGTTTGATGATGGCTTTATAGAGGTAAATTTTATTATGAGTGTCAAGTTTTGATTTTCGTCCAAGGAGCCAATGATATCTTTTTCTGGTTTCTTCAAGCTGCTTTCTCTTTTCCTTAATGTGTTCTTTCCAGGTTAGTCTCTTATCCAGGTGTAAACCTAGATATTTGACTGTATCTGCTTGGTCTATAACTTCGTCATTAAGTCTTACTGCAGGACATGTCCCTTTGCAAAGAGTGAAAGTGATGTGTTTTGACTTGCTGCTGTTAACTTCTATTCTCCACAAGCTTAACCATTTTTGTATCACGTCAAGATGATCCTGGAGCATTTTTGATGTGATTATGGGATCTTCATGTGTTGCCAACATTTGAAATGTTGATTAGCGAGTATTTGAATCATAGATAAATAAGCATTAGATCGCATATGCAACTTTATAAACACAAATTGTAGTAATTATCTATGGTAATAAGTTTCTTGTCAGACAAGAAGATTAAAATGATATTTCAATATAGTTGATCATAGTAGAAATAAAAAACTTTTATTATAGAAGGCAGCACATCAGCACCTGTACATTTTATATATCAACCCCTGGTATTAATTGTGCATTTATTCATTTTATCAATACAGCCAAAATATCTGAATCAATTTTAATATTGAAAATAAGGACAAATACGAAATATAAAATATATATATTAAAATATATCATAGACATATTTTGTAGAATTATAAAATAATCAGAAATAACTGACTAATATTAACTAATATATACTACAGACATATTTTTAAAGTACTACAGATTAAAGAGAAATAACTTATTAATATTAATTACCTAATGACTAATAATAATATATTAAAAACTTAAAAACTAAGAAGTAAAAGGCGCAGGAGTATTGACCATGGAATGACAAATTTAGAAGCAATATAGTCACGTGCCAAGTTGTTTCAACTATGAATATTAAATTGCACGTCTTTCTTGCAAGTGATGGCCTGGTATACACAGATAAAAAAAGAGTATGTATGATGATGTATTAATATTGATATCCTAGCTAGGATATTTTCATGATATTATTATTATACATTTCTGTTATATAAATAAATATAATACATCATCATACATACCTGGCCATCACTTGCAAGAAAAAAGTCCAATTTAATATTCATAGTTGAAACATCTTGGCACGTAACCATACTAAATTTACGGAGATCAAATGCACGATGCTTATTTATCTATGTGCGCGATAACCATAGATAAAAGAAGAGTATACCAGAGAAGAGAGAACGATAACCTCGATTTTTACTTGAAATCGAGCACATATGAGCCATCTATAATCAAAGTTTCACAATACTCAATATCAAAACAGGGTAAAGCCATAGACCTTATACAATACAAATTGTATAAATTATACAATTACAATTATAAATTATACAATACAATAGAAATTGTATAAGGTCTACGGGTAAAGCGCATTTGTTAGAAGATAACCCCCCGTGGATTAGCGAGTATTCAAATGCTTATACAAATATCTATGATTCGAATCTTGTCTTTGAATCGAATTAAATCGTTACAGTCTCATCAACAAAATATGATCTGTAATCAGTTATCAGTAAATAATGATTAAATTAGTATCATAGATAAACAGATATAAATAGATAGCAAACAAGACCGCTTTTCGATTATTTTGATTTTAACCTTAATTTTCCGCTCTGGCTATAGAGACACGACGACAGCAGCATGTAAATTCACCCCTAGGCATTCTAGATAAGATTTTTATATATAATATTGATACAATATAACTGTTATATAGGCGCGACGGTTGCATCATCTGATTCAACCCTTAGGTTTGATTCTAGATAAGGTTTTTATATATAATATTGATATAATAACTCTGAAATTGATACATCAAATGGCTTTTATATTTTTGAAATCGGTTCAGGCAGTCGATGAAAGGTCTAATCATTAAAGGTCTTTAGACTCTAAAGACTCTAATGCTTGTTTATCTATGGTCTATCCCCTTATTTATCTATGCTCTTCTACTCTCCTTTTATCAATGTATCTATCAATCTATGTAACTCCACCATGATTTTAGTAAGTTGGCAATAGTAACATAAAAGCGAGGCAAAATAACGAACACGAAGTTCGTTCGGCTGTCAAACAAATTAATGTACTGAACGAACATTTTATTTTCGTTCATTTTATTATTAATTATTGACATAATAAATATATTGTATATACATTTGAGTACAAATATAATAATACATATTATAAAGCGGTATATGTGATTGATTGATAAATAGAAAGGTAGTGTAAAACACTTTGAGTTCTTCCACGTGATTAATTTTTAGTTATATTTATTTTATTTAGAAAGAACTATAAATATTTAACTTCAAATAATGCAAAAAATAATTATTGCTTAATTTTACCCTTTACATTTTAGCTCTGCAATAAGGCAAAAGCTTAGAACAATAGTTGATTCGTATTTACTGTCTGTCACATATAAAGCATTTCGAAGAAGAAATTATCTTGGCGACATACATTGTCCAAAGCATAATATATAACACGAATATATTATATTCTTATATTCATTTGTATTGATGACAGTTGAAAATGATTAATAATTTAAACATACACTCCTGTAAAATGTTACAAGAGCATAAATGCAATGCACTCTCTAAAATCATACTCCATGCTCCAACTGTCATCAACTAGTGTCTTCATTTGTATTTCTAATGAGATTAATTATCATATTTAACAATTCATTTAAATTAACCAACTGTTTTTGTTTATGCTTATAGAACATACTCGGTGCACAAATATCTCAAAATGTCGGAAGCTGCTAATGAGCCAATAATTAAAATTGAACCACAAGAATATCCAATTAAACAGGAGATTGAGGAAGACATTAAACAGGAAATTGAGGAAGACCCTGAATCGTGTTCAGAGGATGACAAAACATGTCTAAAGAGATTTATGAACTCTATAGTAAAAATAGAAGAAGATGTCAAACAGGAATTAATTCAAACTCCTTTTTATAAATGTGACAGGTGTAATGAAACATTTAGAAAGTTGCATTATTTAGAACAGCATATGGTAAATTATTGTCGTAAGTGTACATATTGTTCAAAGTCTTTTCCAGATGCAAGTGCATTAGAAATACATATGAAATCTCATACAGGTGAAAAATATTTCACATGTACAAAGTGCAGTGAAGCATTTACTGAAAAATATCATTTAGATCAACACATTTGTGCTCCTGCAAGAGAACAAAATTCACATTTGAATGAATCTGGTAATCAAAAACGAAATATTCACGCTCATACTGCAAAGGGACCAGGTGAACGTCCCCATATTTGCCAAATTTGTGATAAGACTTTCACACAATTGAATAAATTGAATCGACATATGCTAATTCACACTGGTGAACGTCCCCATATTTGCAAAATTTGTGATAAGACATTCACACAATTGTGTAACTTGAATCGACATATGCTAATTCACACCGGTGAACGTCCCCATATTTGCCAAATATGTGATAAGGCATTCACAGAAATAGGTACCTTGAAAAAACATATGCTAATTCACACTGGTGAACGCCACCATATTTGCAAAATATGTAAAAAGGCATTCAAACATTCGAATTCCTTGAATGAACATATACTTGTTCACACTAAAGAGCGCCCCCATATTTGCCAAATCTGTGATAAGTCATTCACACGATTGCGTACCTTGAATAGCCATATGTTCATTCATACTGGTGAACGGCCACATATTTGCCAACTATGTGATATGGCATTCTCACGATTGAGTGCCTTGAAATTGCATATGATGATTCACACTGGGGTACATCCTCATAAATGTAAAGTCTGTGATAAGACATTTACACGATCACGTAACTTGAATAGACATAGGCTCATTCACACTGGAGAATGCCCCTACAAATGCAAAATCTGCGATAAGGTATTCAAACAATCAAACACCTTGAAAATGCACATGGTTGCTCATACCAATGAGTAATTAGTATTTACAAAATTAGTCAAAAGGTTACTTATTACTGCTTATAGAAATTAATGATAATTAGATATAGATATATGATTATATTAGATATTAGATATATGAATTAATTGCAATATTATATATTTATATATCATATCAAATAAATAAACAGTGTTATCAATGACTCGTGAAAATATTTTGTTAATAATGTTCTATATCCATCCCAGGTTTTAATAAGGCTTGCAATTGAGCCATAATTGTTAGTAGAATTTTCTCAAAAAGATGACTTTTTAATTTCCCATAGGGTTAGTTATTGTAATCATCCAAAAGTCGAAATTGAAAATTTTAGCATATCTTCACGAGAAGATTTCTGAACATTTTGGCATACCTTGGAAAAAATTGATGTGTGTGTGTATGTATGTATGGATACAAATTTCCAGTCACGTTTTCGGGCGCACGGATCAACCGATTGGAATGGTTTAAAAAACATTCGATTCCTATTGATAGGGAGATGTGCTGATTAGTTTTTGGCAAAGGCAGGTCCAGCCGTTACGGAGATATAAAGAAAAAAATGCAGAAAATTCAAATAAAATTTTTGAGAGAACGGAGTATTCGATTTGAATGATCTAAAAAACATTCCATTTGTAATGTTTTTGTAAAGGAGAAGAAGTGATTCGTTTTTGGCAAAGGCAGGTTCAGCCATTTAGGGTGTCAATACCATATGTAGGTTTTGAGACAACTTTAGGGTGTCAATATAGACTTACAGCTGGGTATCTCAAATTTCGAGGTGAACTTGCTATAATGACTGGACTATATATAATGTATTTGTATTTACAAATTTGTATACAAAGTCAAAAAATGAACAATAAAATATCAATAATTGGAATGTGGTGTATGGCATCGTGCCTTAAGGCAAATTGCTGGAACTTTCCCGTACAAATATATTCGAGAAATTTTAAAAGTTTTCAAATATATTATTACAAATACTGTAACTTTCATTATTTTTGCTATCTTGTTATATTTGAGCAAATCAAATGTAAATCATAAATCAATTTATCTCCAGAACATTAACAATCATCATTTCATTTCGAATTTGACATAAAGATGTAATTGTGTAAACTTTTCATTGCATATTACACAGTTCAGGTGCCGATACACTGTAGAAAAAAATCTAGGTAGAGTGTAGACCAGGGGTCGGCAAGCTTTTAACTGTGGTGTGCCAAGCCACTCTAATTATAACCAAATTTATCTTTGAAACATATTTATTAACTAGTGGGATGCATGGCATCGTGTCTTAAGGCAAATTGCTAGTACTTCCCGTATCGTGTTTAAAAATCTTGGCACTGAACCAAAAAAAAACTAGCTGTAAGTGGAATTCTGTCTTAAGGCAATTAGGGCATCGTGCCTTAAGGCAAATTGCTGAAACTTCCCGTACCAAAAATTATTATTTTTTTTAAAAACGATTAACATTTTTGAAAAAAATTTACTTCGAAAAAATAAGATTTTTGAGAAACTATAAATTGGACAAAAAATTACTTTTTTTTGAAAAAAAAAATTTTTTTTTTAAATTTTAAAAAAAAAAAATTTTTTTTTAATTTTTTTTGTTTTGAAAAAAAAAAATTTTTCTTTATTTTGACATATTTTGGAAGATCTGAACTTGTTTTTCAAAGCAATCGTGCTGCTTTAACTGCATAGAGACAAAATATAAAGCGCGTAAGCGCGGCGTCGCTGTCTAACGGGTAAACATTGATACGGAACCCTTAGGAAAATAAACAAAATTTATACTTATTGTTAAAATCTCTATAAAATATCTGAAAATTTGATATGCATATGTCTAATGATCATTTTTGACCGCCAAATGGCATTTTTTTCTACTTTTTTCGTTAGATCTCCAAAACCGCTAGACCTGCCTTTATGAAAATATGATCAATTCTTTACCTTGTCAATACAAGTAAAATGTTTTTTGAATTATTAAAATCGGACGCTCCGTTCTCTTAAAAACTGAGTTACCGTTTTCGGCACTTTTTGCCCCGTATCTCCGGAACGGCTAGACCTGCCTTCGCCAAAAACTAATCAGCACGTCTCCTTATCAATACGAATCGAATGTTTTTTGAATTATTCAAATCGGTTGATCCGTGTTCCCGAAATCGTCGACGAAAATTTGTATCCGCACATACATACACACACGTACATACATACATACACACACACATACATCCATTTTTTCTAAGGTATGCCAAAATGTTCAGAAACCTCTGAAACGTAAAGATATATAAAAATTTTCATTTTCGATTTTTTTGCGATTACTATAACTTGCCCTACGGGAAGTTAAAAAATGTTCAATTATAACTAATAGCTAATGTACCTCGCTAATGTAATTCAACCTACGTTGAAGCACTTAAAGATGAATTTTCCAGGTGCAAAGACTTTGAAGCTTATGTGCCTATATTTTCCTTCCTAATAAAACCAGATTTCATAGATTGGCGAAGGCAGGTCAAGCCGTTCCGAAGATACGGGGCTAAAAGTTCCGAAAACGGTAACTCAGTTTTTAAGAGAACGGAGCGTTCGATTTGAATAATTCAAAAAACATTTCACTTGTATTGACAAGATGAATAATCGATAAAATTTTCATGATGGTAGGTCTAGCGGTTTCGGAGATAGGGAGGAGAAAGAAAAAAAATGAGCCATTTGGCGGTCAAAAATGATCATTAGACATATGCACATCAAATTATCAGATATTTTATAGAGATTTTAACAATAAGTATACATTTTGTTAACATTCCTATGGGTTCCGTACCAATGCTTATGCGTTAGACAGCGACGCGGCGCTTACGCGCTTTATATTTTGTCCTATGCCGTTAAAGCAGTACGATTGCTTTGAAAAAAAAGTTCAGATCTTCCACAATATGTCAAAATAAAGAAAAAAAAATTAAAAAAAAAAATTTTAAAAAAATTTTTTTTTTTTTCAAAAAAAAAGTAATTTTTTGTCCAATTTATAGTTTCTCAAAAATCTTATTTTTTTAAGTAAATTTTTTTTAAAAATGTTAATCGTTTTCCAAGCCTGGCACGCGTGCTATAGGTTGCCGATGCCTGGTGTTGTAGACTCTCTAGCTAGAGCGCTCTACCGCTGTCTGTACACCGTAAAGTGTTTTTCTCTTCCGAGAGCACTTTCGTACTCTAGGAGAGAAGTAGGTGAGAGGTGCCAGAGCAACTCTATCTAGACACTCTAAAAAGCTATGTACACTTGTGGATAAATATATTAATATATATATTAATCTAAAACTTTACAACTAGTCTATAGAAGTAAACTTCTATAAACTTTTTTTAACTTCCCGAAGGAGAAGTTTATGTTTTCATCAAAAAATCCGATTCGCTAATTTTATGTTTTTTCGACGTTTCAAGCCATTCTGAATCGAATGAGAACAAATTTGGAAAAAGTATGTGTGTGTGTGTGTGTGAACAGATTTTTTGCCGTAAATCGACGTTTTCTCCAAAACGGCTGGACCGATTTCAAAAATTTAAAAGCCATTCGATATATCTCGATGAGGACTATCGTTTCTGAGTTTTGTGCGGCGATCGGTCGAGCCGTTTCTTTGTGAATTGCAGAAAAGTGAAAATTTTTTCGTCCACGTTTTAGCCCGCAATTCTGAATCGATTCTGAAAATTCAAAAACCATTCGATAGATATTGGTTGGGAATCGTGCTGATTAGTTTTTGGTAAAGATCGGCCGGGCCGTTTTCTTGTAATAAAGTTTTTAAAAAAAAAATTTCGACGATTTTTATGATTTTTTTTTTTGACGGTAGATACCATAGTTTTCTAGGTCATACTAAAATATTACGGCCCTACGACAACTCATTTAGCTTTAAAAATTCGTTAAAGTTTGTAAAAATTGGTATCGTTTTATTGACATTTGTCAAAATGAAATCTTTGATCGACGTTTTCTCAAAAACGCCTTAACCGATTTCAAAAATTTAAAAGCCATTTGATGTATTTCGGTGAGGACTATCGTTTGTTAGTTTTGTGCGACGATCTGCCAAGCCGTTTCTTTATAATTTGAAAAAAAGTGTTAAACATTTCGTCCACATTTAAGCTCATCCTACCGAACCGATTTAAAAACATCAAAAACTGTTCGAAAGATATTAGTTGGGAATGATGCTGATTAGTTTTAGGTGAAAATCTACCGAGCCGTTTTCTTGTAATTAACTGTTGAAAAAAAAATTTAAGTCGTTTTTTATGGATATTTTTTTAGTGATATATACCATGGTCTTATAGAACTTACTGAAATATTACGGCCTTATAACAAATTGTTTGATTTTAAAAATTCATCAAAGTTTGAGAAAATGAGTAGTTCTTTTGAGATTTGTTAAAATTAAAATTAGACTATTTACTTGGTATAATGATAGAGTACTTGGTCTTGAACATAATAAACCATTGAAGTCCTGAAAACTGGTGCAATTATATAAAATTTGCTTTTAGAAAATACTCCGAGTCAAAGTGTTCGTTCGTTTTAATTATGTGTAATAGATCCACTCGGAATACTTTTAATGACTCATAAATTAATTTATTTTTTATTGATTAAGTTGATTATTTAAACATATCGGGAAGTTCATGTAACTTGCCTCAAGGCTACATACCAAACCAACTAGTTCATTCTAGACAATTGACAATTTTATTAGTGTATAGTTATTATGTTCCCGGCGAAAACAAGGTTTAGCTGCATTGGTGGTATATTATTTGATTAAAAAACGAAATAAGAAAGTGAAAAAAAAATGTGGTTTAGGGAATGGATAGCCAAAAGGGAAGAAGAGGGAGTTTATGCAAAGTTGTTAAAAGAACTCGAGTATCAAGACAAAACTTCTTATGAAAATTTTATAAGAATGGCCCATAAGGATTTTCAGCATTTGCTGGAATGAATTGCTCCAAGAATTGCAAGACTAGATAATTATCTAAGAAAATCAATATCACCGTCTGAGCGGTTAACACTGACATTGAGATTTCTTGCTACTGGTAAGTGGTATAAAACAATTATTTAAAATAATTCAAAAACATTTTTTGTAATATTTATTTATAAAAATTGTACCAATATTAATTGTATAAACATTATATTATAGGTGACAGTTATCAGTCATTGAGCTGTTTGTTTCGGATTCCATCAACAACTATTTCTCATATTGTTCTGGAAGTGTGTGATGCTCTGTACTTGGAATTGAAAAATGATTATTTGAAGGTATGAGAAAATGTTAAATGTTGTCATAATATTGCGTTGAAGTAGTCTCATTTTGCATTGGAGAAATCATCTGGCCTATTACTGAAGTGCTTGATGAAACGGAGTACTCACTCAAATTACTTGGAGAGATCATAGCTTCCTCATTTGCCTCTAAAATAGCTCTCTGAATCTTGAGTTTTAATTTTTTTCGGATATCTTCAGAGCGTATTCCTCTCAACTCTGCAGTAACAAACTCTCCAAATACGTCCAATTGATCTCTCCGAGGTCGTACACAAGTTAAAGCTTCATTCAGAAACTCATCAACCTTTTTAACTGAATCGGGTGCTCGTTTTTTTCTTTTATGAGGGTTTGTAACAGAAGTCTGCCCAGACCCAGAATTATCTTTTATTTCCTCATCATGATGATCCTAAAAAAATTAAAATAATAAATGAAAATTAAATGGTTTGTTCTTTTTTTACAGATTCCTTGTACATCAGAAGAGTGGGAAAATGAAGCAAAGCGATTTGATGTTACTTGGAACTACCCAAATTGCATAGGAGCTATTGATGGAAAACATGTGGTAATGAAGGCACCAGAAGATTCAGGAAGTCTATATTATAATTACAAGGGAACACATAGTATTGTATTAATGGCTCTAGTTAATGCTGATTATAATTTTTTGTATATAGAAGTAGGTTGTAATGGGAGAGTGTCAGACGGGGGTGTATATGCAAATTGTTCACTATCGGCATGTTTGGAAAGCAACTCTTTGAATATACCCGAAGCAAAGCCATTACGTGTCCAGTCAATTCCGGTGCCATATGTCATCGTTGCCGATGACGCTTTTCCATTAAAAACCTACATCATGAAACCATTCCCTTTTAGAGACCAACCTGTTGAAAATCGTGTTTTTAGTTATAGACTTTCTCGAGCACGTCGCGTAGTAGAAAATGCATTTGGTTTGCTTTCTATGCGTTTTCGTTTTCTTAGAAAGCCAGTCGAACTATGTCCTGAACTAGCTGTAAGTGGAATTCTGTCTTGAGGCAATTAAGGCATCGTGCCTTAAGGCAAATTGCTGGAACTTACCGTACCGTAACGAAATGTTCAAGGAATACTGAATGTTTTAAAATAGATTAATATAAATATTGTAACATTGTCTAATATTTAGATTCATATAAACTGAATTGCAAAGTTGAAATTATTTGTTTAAAGTATATTAGAAATTTAGTCAGAATTAAAAATAAAATCTGAATTATTTTCGATATACAAAAAACTAAAAAAAACTAAAAAAAAAATAATAATAATTACAAAATTACAATTTTTTTTTCCAAAATCAATTATTTTGTTAAAACAAGCTGAAAGTTCTTTGAATCATTTAAATTGGACGCTTAGTTCTCTCAAAAACTGCCATTTTTTGCACATTAAGTGTATGTATGTATGTATGTATGGATACAATTTTTCGCCCACGTTTTTGGGCGCATGGATCAACCGATTTGAATGGTTCAAAAAACATTCGATTCCTATTGATTCCGTTACGTAGATACGGAGCAAAGAGGGCAGAAAATAGAAATCGAGTTTTTGAGAGAACGGAGCATCCGATTTAAATGATCTAAAAAACATTCAATTAGTAATGATTGGGAAAAGTGATTGTTAGTTTTTGGCAATGGCAGGCCCAGCCATTTCGAAGATACGGAGCTAAATATGTAAAAAATGGCAGTTTTTTAGAGAACTAAGCGTCAGATTCAATTGATTCAAAGAACTTTCTGCTTGTCTTAAAATAATTGATTTTGGAAAAAAAAAATTGTTCCAATTTTTTTTTTTTAGTTTTTTGTATATCGAAAATAATTCAGATTTTATTTTTAATTCTGACTATAGTTCAAATATACTTTACAAATAATTTCAACTCTGCAATTCAGTTTATATAATTCTTATAAATATTAGACAATGTTACAATATTTATAATCTATTTGAAAACATTCAGTTTTCACTCGAACATTTCATTGCGGTACGGGAAGTTCCAGCAATTTGCCTTAAGGCACGATAACATAATTGCCTCAAGACAGAATTCCACTTACAGCTAGTTAAATTTGGTATCTGATCTATTTTACCGCACATACGGGGTAAAGTGGGACAACCACGGGGCAAACAGATGCAATTTCTTCTATTAAATTTTAAAGGGATTTTACGCTACATTATTGAACCAATGCAAAATATCAATTCTGTGGGTACATTTGTTACGAAGATAAGACAGTATATTACATTGATCTGCTATAGATCAGAAATATTCATCAGTCGAGCCGGAATAATAATATATTTAATTAATCTCTTGTAAAATTGCTTTTTTTTAAACTTTACTATTTTATTGCTTACACCTTTGCCAAAGTAAAGGTTCTGCTGGTCCTTTTTATCCCCCTCATGTGCTGCTTATCTTCTGATAGCAAAGTCATAAGAATAAAGGTGATGGCTGATTATGAATTTATACATTTTTTGCCCTCTACTATCAAATATTTTTCTTAAAAAAGATCTAATTTTATTTGTTTACGAGATATCCGTGGTGAACGATTATTAATTGGTCTACCCTACCCATAAACATACAAATGTGATTTTTTAATGTAAGTAATCAGTAATTTTTGATTGATTTTTTTACATAATTTTATTGTAAAAACAGTCCCTAGTGCTATTGTGCACAAAAGACATAGCAATTGCTTTCGTAGACTTGGCCACATCATGTAAAATCATGTCGATCATTATAATTGGACATAATTTTTGCAAAAATGGGTCATTATAAGCGACATGTCAATGTAAGCAATGTCAATATATCCGACTAGACACCTGTTTTTTTAAGGAATTTTATATGGAAACCAAACATCCTAGTGCAATTAGGTCATAATAAGCAGTTGTCAATATATCCGGCGTCATACTAATCGGATCCTACTGTACTTTATTTACTTACCAGCACATCTGTAATAATAACATCAGGGGCACTGCCAACACTGACAATTGAGTCCTCTGTTGAATTTGTCTGGATACTCATAAACTTGACAGCCTCAAAAAACTCCCACTTCGGTTTATACCATTCATCTGCATCCTGACCACTTTTAAACTTTTTCATTTTTCTCAGATGCTCATTCAACTGGCATCTCAAATTATGAATTTTGTCTTTTACTATTTTAACACTCAAATTTAAAGATGTTGCTATTGCTTCCAAGGACTTATATTTCAGGTCTCGATTCCTATACTCCTTCAACCTGACATTCCACAATTCTGGACGAGCCTCTACCAATTCAATTAATTGAAACACTTTATTTTTCTTCCAAACAATTTTTTTGCACTGTTCTTCATCACATAATGCTTCCATTTTCACTTTCCTTTCCTTGGAACACAAATAAACACATAGATAAATAAGCAAACCTAACCTAGCATAGATAAATAAACAAACCAGTGCAAAGCAAAACAAAAAAAACTCTACGTATAGTACAAAAAAATATAGGTTGTTTGAAACTCTTCTGATTTACTTACTAATTTACTTGTGTCACTGATTTCTTCACTATATGTAACAGGTTTTTCATCTTGTTCATCAATTGTTTCTTCTTGTTTAATTGTCTCTTCTATAGTTACCTCAGATTTTAAAAATCGCTGCAGATATAATTGATTATTTTCCTTTATATCTTCATAACCTTTAAATTCTTGATTCACTTGAGGATAATCATCATGTTCTTGTTTAATTTGAGGATATTCGATAGGCTCAACTTTAACTAATGCTGTTGTACTTGTTCCTTCTGACATTTTGGGCGCTGAAAGTCCTAAAAAAATATAATTTGCTGTAAGTATAAATAAATAAAATAAATAAATAACCGAACTGTACTAACTTCTTTGTTATTTTATATATACAAGCGTATTCGTGCAAACAAGAGATTATAATAATAGTTTAATTAATGATATTTTACTTTTTCTATTAAATTAATAATAATAATCAACACTATTTTCATTTACCACGTGCATAGAAAATAGCAAACGAGATTTGACATTTCGTGCCGATGGCTGAAGCATAGAGAAAGGCCCGATCCAAACCATAGATATCCCTTGAATGTACGCCACAAAACATTTAAACATTGATTAACGCATGGCCGGTAATCTCCGAACAAATGTAGATTACCATAGATAAATAAACATAAATAGATCGCTATCTCGGGCCATTTGACGTTACACTCATTTTAATTTACGAATAGATCACTACATGGCAGCACATGTACATACAGTATGTAAATTAACCCCTGGTATTACTTCTACATTTGTACATAAAATCAATACAGCCCAAAAATCTGAAAAAAAATATTATTTGAAATAAGAACAAAACATACGAAATACAAAATATATTTTCAAATATATCACAGACATATTTTTGAAGAATTATAAACTAAACAGAAATAACTGACTACTATTAATTAAAGTATATTACAGACATATTTTTAAAGTACTTATTCTATTAATATTCTAGAAATAACTTATTCATATTAATTACTTAATGACTAATAATAATATATTAAAAACTTAAAAACTAAGAAGTAAAAAGCGCAGGAGGAGTATTGATGATGTAATGACAAATTTAGAAGGAATGCAAGTAATGCAATAATTTAAAAGGATAAAAAGAACAGCACATTTTTAAAAAAGAATGAATACTTTCCAAACAAAATAATCCTAAAAACAAAACATATATATATTGATATCCAAATTGAGATAAAACAAAATTCCTAGGATTAAAATTCATTTACGAGACATTCTTGTTTATTATCTCTCCATTTAATAGTTATTTTGCTATCTAATCAATCATTAATAAAGTTATATTTGACGAAATCTTTGAATAGTTTCTGTATAAGTGTTTTTAAACGTAAGTAACCAAAACCCTGAACTACTTTGAATTTATACCAATTGTAGCTCAAATCTATCTATCGTTTTAATCCAGTTTTTATTGCAAGGAGGTTTAGTTAAAACTATAACTAAACCCTTGCGCTTTATAAACTGTCTGGTCTTTGAGTATGCTCTCTTAATTGAGACATTATCAAAATTCTTGCCCTTACATTTTAAGTTTCCGGAATATTTGAAAACTTCTCAGAACATTGTATACTCTGTTGGAATTTATTCTTTAAATTATTGCATTGCATTTTAATCCCAAAACAAAATTTGTATTATGTATCATACATCTTCTGGGTGTTAAGGCACTCCTACGCCTTATCATTGCATTCTGCGGCAATTTGCAGCTACCATCAAGGACTTCTATTGAATATATTGTTATATCATATTAATTGAAGATATTTTAATTATCATATTAAATATTTTTGCTGCAATTAGTATGAAAAAATACCTTTTCGGAAAACTGGTGTCAGAATAGGTGACTTTTAACCTGCACTTCACAATCTTAGAGGTGCTGCAAAAATCTTTTTCAAGGTGTTTAGGCTTCCATCTCCTAAGAACATAAGATTCATTTATTAATATTTTTTTGCAAATGTTAGAGTTATAATTACTTGGCTTTGTCCTTGGAGTTGCAGATTTTTCTTCTGGTTCTGTATCAGAGCATTCTCCAGTGACTTGAAAACTATTTTGTTATTGCCGTAAAGGAGACACTTCTATTTGGTTTCGATTTCAAATTATCGTTGATTTGTGCCACAAACCGAAGAGTTAGGTCATCCATTAAAAGATTATTCGCCCTCTGCATCCAAATTGAAAGCATCTTTTTACATACGAATTTTTACACACAAATATATATATATATATATATATATATATATATATATATTTATATTATATATATATATATATATATATAACATTCTAATAGTATTGTGATGATACATATTCATTATATGCATAATACATCATTATATACATACCTGATAATTAGATGCCGAAAAGACATGCATTTTTTTATTATATTTGGGGTTATAACAATTTGGCACATAACACTTTATCATTTTAACTTAATAATAAATGAAAAAAGTATTCACCAAAACATAATTATATATAAACAATCACAGAAAATCTCAACTACAATACGCGATGACAACTTGACAACTTATAGAAAATGGCCGATCAATGTAGATCAAGCCAGCTGCTATATCAATGAAATTGGAAATCGTAGCGCCATCCTTCGAACTATTCAAATACCAGTCCATTTCAAAACACGGTAATCTTCATTTGTTCGGAGATTACCGGCCATGTAGATTACCTTGTTCTGAAATGAATTGGTATTCGAAATGATCGAAAGATGGCGCTACGATTTCCAATTTCATTGATCTAGCAGCTAGCTTGATCTACATTGATTTGATCGGCCATTTTCTATAAGTTGTCATCGCGTATTGTAGTTGTGATGTGTTATATTTGTTTTTCTGAGATTGTTCATACATAATTATATTTTGGTGAATACTGTTTTCATTTATGTTAAAATGGCAAAGTGTAATGTGCCAAATTGTTATAACCCCAAATATAATAAAAAATGCATGTCTTTCCGGCGTCTAATTATCAGGTATGTATATAATGATGTATTATGCATATAATGAATATGTATCATGAAAATACTATTAAAATGTTATATATTATGTATATATATATAGCGGGTTGACAACACGCATCGCGGCTCGTCAACACGCATCACATGTTACTGGACAGATTGGCCCATATAGTGACAGCACTGAGAAAAACAAAAGGAAATTCAAGTGTCAGATCGGACATGGCTTTTGTTTCTCCCTAGTCGAATTTGCCTAAAATGTATGATTCTTGAAACCTTTCTTTTCTATTATAAATAAGAAAATACCAATAACGTTTTATTAATGATCAGTATGACAACACATAGTGTCGTGGATATTAATCATATATAAAATAAACGAAATATAAATAATATTTTATGAAATTTATTATGACTACAATTGGTATTAATATGGACCAAACCTCCAAAAATATGGAGGCTTGGTCCATATTAAATACCAAAATAATAGACAATAATAAATTTCATAAAATATTATTTATATTTGGTTTATTTTATATATGATTAATATCCACGACACTATGTGTTGTCATATTTATCGTTAATAAAATGTTATTGGTATTTTCTTATTTATAATTGAAAAGAAAGGTTTCAAGAATTATACATTTTAGCAAATTCGACTAGGGAGAAACAAAAACCAAGTACGATCTGACACTTGAATTTCCTTTTGTTTTTCTCAGTGCTGTCACTATATGGGCCAATCTGTCCAGTAACATGTGATGCGTGTTGACGAGCCGCGATGCGTGTTGACAACCCGCTATATCACTCCGCCCTAATGAAAAAGATTGTTTCGTATCTCTGACTGCCATTCTTGAACTTCCTTGTAAATTTCTTTTGGTTGAGATTGTGTGATAAATTTTATTTGTTTGTGGCCGTGGCCGTTTTGAATGCCGTGTTGGCTTGTTGAGTTTGTTGATTGCTTACGTGGCCCTTCGCTGGTGAGTTAGCGGTTGAGTAGATGTGGCCCTTCGCTGGTGAGTTAGCGGCTGAGTATATTTGACACTTCGCTGGTGAGTTAGCGGTTGAGTGTATGTGGCCCTTCGCTGGTGAGTTAGCGGTTGATTGTATGTGGCCCTTCGCTGGTGAGTTAGCGGTTGAGTGTATGTGGCCCTTCGCTGGTGAGTTAGCGGTTGATTATATATGGCCCTTCGCTGGTGAGTTAGCGGTTGAGTGTATGTGGCCCTTCGCTGGTGAGTTAGCGGTTGAGTGTATGTGGCGGTTGCCAAATTGTTTGCTGATGCTCCCTGTCTGTTGCCATGGTGCTTATAATCGACTTATTTACCAGGATAATAAGTGATTTATTGAGCACGTGTTGTTGTTGATCTTGAAGTGTGTGGTCGGAGTCTCAGTTGTATGCTTAGAATGCTCTTCGAATTATGGTAGTTGTGAGTCATTTATAATAATTATTTATATTTTTAAAAATTCTTTTCTTAATAATTCTTGAGACTTCAATTTATTTATTTTTCTACTTCAAAATATGTCTTGATCTTCTTACCTTCTTTTATGTGTGTTACTTGTTCACTCTCGGGGTCACCAAAATATGGAGGTTTAGTCCATATTAATACCAATTGTAGTCATAATAAATTTCATAAAATATTATTTATATTTCGTTTATTTTATATATGATTAATATCCACGACACTATGTGTTGTCATACTGATCATTAATAAAACGTTATTGGTATTTTCTTATTTATAATAGAAAAGAAAGGTTTCAAGAATCATACATTTTAGGCAAATTCGACTAGGGAGAAACAAAAGCCATGTCCGATCTGACACTTGAATTTCCTTTTGTTTTTCTCAGTGCTGTCACTATATGGGCCAATCTGTCCAGTAACATGTGATGCGTGTTGACGAGCCGCGATGCGTGTTGACAACCCGCTATATATATATATATATATATATATATATATATATATATATATATATATATATATATATATATATATATATATTTGTGTGTAAAAATTTGAAAAAAGATGCTTTCAATTTGGATGCAGAGGGCGAATAATCCTTTAATGGATGACCTAACTCTTCGGTTTGTGGCACAAGACGAAGATAATTTGAAATCGAAACCAATTAGAAGTGCCTCCTTTACGGCAATAACAGAATCAAGTCACTGGAGAATGCTCTGATACAGAACCAGAAGAACAATCTGCAACTCCAAGGACAAGGACAAGTAATTATAACTCTAAATACTTCAATACAATTTGCAAAAAAATATTAATAAATGAATCTTATTATCTTAGTTAGGAGATAAAAGCCTAAAAACCTTGAAAAAGATTTTTGCAGCAACCCTGAGATTGTCAAGTGCAGGTTAAAAGTCACCTATTCTGACACCAGTTTTCCGCAAAGGTATTTTTTCATAATAATTGCAGCAAAAATAATTAACATGATAATAACAATATCTTCAATGAATATGATAACAATATATTCAATAGAAGTCCTTGGTGGTAGCTACAAATTGCCTCAGAATGCAGTGATAAGGCGTAGAAGTGCCTTAACATCCAGAAGATGTATGATACATCAAATTTTGTTTCGGGCGATCTATTTATGTTTATTTATCTATGAGTTACAGTACAGTAAACCCTCGCTTTACGCAGCAAGTGCGTACCGTGCAGTATAGGAACCGTGCTATAAGAAACTCGTATTTAACATACAATTCAGGCTAATTCGTAGTGCGTTCTATGGAACCTTACATAGTGCAGTATGGAAACCGTGCTATGAGAGACTCAGAGTTGGTACAAATCGCACCATTTTTATCGCGTTGTATGGAGACCAAGAAATACAACTTGAAGTAGGAGAAATACGGACGAAATGACATGTAGGACATTGACACCTTATTCAAAAATTGGCGCGACGCAGTAGTCAGCTCAAACGTGTTCTTAGGCGACTAATATACAATCAGGCATGTCTAAAAGATAAAAGTCGATAACAAAATTTACATCAATACCCTTTTGCACAACGAACTTATGGGCTGTTGACCAAATACCGTGTAATAAGAAGTCCGTGTAGTCGGAGGGATGTCGGATTTTTGCTCCGTGTAGTATGGGAACCGTGTACCCAGAGTGCCGTGTAAAGCGAGGGCCTACTGTATTTGTAATAATATATGTTCGCCCCGAAATCTTGTGAGATGTCGCCAGATGACATTTGTAAGAATCAGACAATACTTTATTCTATGGCAATCCCTAAAGATTTTGGATATAATCGCTAATCATGCGGGTGAACAAGGTCTCGCCGTCTCGCTGGTTTATTTCATTTTTTGTTAATTTAATCATTAGATTTATTCATCGATTTATATTGTATTTAATTATTTATTTGTTTATTAATTTATTAACTTCCCGTAGGGTAAGTTATTGTAATGACGTTTTGAAGGTTTCTGAACATTTTGACATACCTCAGAAAAAATTGATGTGTGTGTGTATGTATGTATGGATACAAATTTCCAGTCACGTTTTCGGGTGCACGGATCAACCGATTTGAATGGTTTAAAAAACATTCGATTCCTATTGATAGGGAGATGTGCTGATTAGTTTTTGGCAGGCCCAGCCGTTACGGAGATATGGAGCAAAGAGTGCAGAAAATAGAAATCGAGTTTTTGAGTAAACGGAGCATCCGATTTGAATGATCTAAAAAACATTCAATTAGTAATGACTGCGAGAAGTGATTATTAGTTTTTGGCAATGACAGGCGCAGCCATTTCAAAGATACAGAGCTAAATGTGCCAAAAATTTAGATTCAAAAAACTTTCAGCTTGTTTTGACAAAATAATTGATTCTGGGGGAAAAAAAATATCATTTTTTTTGTTTTATTTTTGTATATCGAAAATAATTCAGATTTTATTTTTAATTCTGACTAAAGTTCTAATATACTTTGAATAAATAATTTCAACTTTGCAATTCGGTTTATATAAATCTTATAAATATTAGACAATGTTCCAATATTAATAATAAGCTATTTGAAAACATTCAGTATTCCTCGAACAATTCGTTACCGTACGGAAAGTTCCAGCAATTTACCATAAGGCACGATGCCATACACCCCACTAGTTTATGCCTTCTTAAAGAAGTGTATGGCATCGTGCCTTATTATGTCCAATGCCTTCTTTTATTTATGATTATACCTTTGCGCTTAAGAACATATCGTGCCCACCCGCGCGGCGAATGCAAATTTCTGAAATAAATCTTCCCAATGGATTAAAACTTTCTGATCCACACTTTAATATCTCGCGCGAAGTGGATATGTTGATAGGTGTTGATACGTTTTTTGAAACTTTACATTATTCTAGGCCGCAATAAAGCTATTTTACAAAACACGGTACTCGGGTGGACAGTTAAGGGTAGATATCAAAGAAATATAATTATAATTAATAGCAAGGCAAATAATAATCATATATCCGTCACAGAATTTGGTAAAGTTACACGCGTTGAAAAGTTACACAAATTATCGACACACAAAGAAATATATAAACAATGGTTTTCAGAAAATCCTGAAAAAATTACAATATTTTAAATTCCTGTAACTATGGTACTGTTTGCGCACCATTTCTTGCACGTACACGTTTAAACATCATAACTTTCATTTGGCGGCGGATGCATTGGACTAAGCCAACTCAGTTTACTTAGTATACTAAAAAAATTAAAAAAAAATTCACTTTTAATAACCTCAGTAGAGTAATTGCAAGATATTGCACGTAATATATTTTTAACTTCCCGAAGGAGAAGTTTATGTTTTCATCAAAAAATCCGATTCTCTAATTTTATGTTTTCTCGACGTTTCAAGCCATTCTGAATCGAATGAGACCAAATTTGGAAAAAGTATGTGTGTGTGTGTATGTGAACAGATTTTTTGCCGTAAATCGACGTTTTCTCGAAAACGGCTGGGCCGATTTCAAAAATTTAAAAGCCATTCGATGTATCTCGACGAGAACTATTGTTTGTCAGACGATCGGTCAAGCCGTTTCTTTATAAATCGCAGAAAAGTGAAAAATTTTTCGTCTACGTTTTAGCCCGCAATTCTGAATCGATTTTGAAAATTCAAAACCGTTCGAAAGATATTGGTTGGGAATCGTGCTGATTAGTTTTTGGTAGAGATCGGCCGGGCCGTTTTCTTGTAATAAAGTTTTTTAAAAAAAAATTTCGACGATTTTAATGATTATTTTTTTGATGGTAGATACCATAGTCTTCTAGATCATACTAAAATATTACGGCCCTACGACAACTGGTTCAGCTTTAAAAATTCGTCAAAGTTTGCAAAAATTGGTATCGTTTTTTTGACATTTGTCAAAATTAGACCTTTGATCGACGTTTTCTCAAAAATGCCTGAACCGATTTTAAAAATTTAAAAGCCATTTGATGTATTTCGGTGAGGACTATCGTTTGTCAGTTTTGTGCGACGATCTGCCAAGCCGTTTCTTTGCAATTTAAAAAAAGTGTTAAACTTTTCGTCCACATTTAAGCTCATCCTACCGAACCGATTTTAAAAAATCAAAAACTGTTCGAAAGATATTAGTTGGGAATGGTACTGATTAATTTTAGGTGAAAATCTACCGAGCCGTTTTCTTGTAATTAACTGTTCGTGGAACTTTTTTTGGCGATATTCATCATGGTCTTATAGAACTTACTGTAATATTACGGCCTCACGACAAGTAGTGTAATTTTAAAAATTCGTCAAACTTTGCTAAAATTATTATCGTTTTTTTGGCGTTCATCTAAATTAGACCTTTCATCGACGTTTGCTCAAAAACGCCTGAATCAATTTCAGATATTTAAAAACCATTTGGTGTATCTCGATGAGGATTATTGTGTGTCAGTTTTGTGCGACAATCTGTTGCGCCGTTTCTTTGTAATTTGAAAAAGTGTTAAACTTTTCGTCCACATTTAAGCTCATACTACCAAATCGATTTTAAAAAATCAAAAAGCGTTCGAAAGATATTAGTTGGAAATGATACTAATTAGTTTTAGGTGAAAATCTACAGAGCCGTTTTCTTGCGAATAACTGTTGAAAATAAAATTTAAGCCGATTTTCATTGAATTTTTGTTGGCAACATATATCATGGTCTTATAGAACTTACTGAAATATTACGGCCTTACGACAAGTAGTTTAATTTTAAAAATTCATCAAAATTTGAGAAAATGAGTTGTTTTTTTGACGTTTGTTAAAATTAAAATTAGACTATTTATTTGGTATAACAATAGAGTACTTGGTTTTAATGAACATACTAAACAATTAAAGTCCTGCAAAAAGCTGGCTCAATTTATTGATTTTTGAAAATTTGCTCTTAGAAAATACTCCGAGTCAAAGTGTTCATTCGTTATCAATTATGTGTAATAAATCCACTCGAAATACTTTCAATGGCTCATAAATTAATTTATTTTTTATTGAGTAAGTCGATTATTTAAACATATCGGGAAGTTCATGTAACTTGCCTCAAGGCTAAATACCAAATAAACTAGTTATGATTACAACGCTGGAGGGCGCTGGCGAACACTTTGGAAACCGCCGGTCTAGGCCCTTATTTATCTATGTAACTCCCGCATATTTTTAGTGAGTTGGCAATAGTAACATTAGAGCTAGGCAAAGTAACGAAATTCAAGTTCATTCTGCTGTCAAACAAATTAATGTACACTGAACGAACATTTTATACCTAGACAATATTAGAATACCCCGTGTTCATATTTTAAACCGTGATTTTATATTTCGTTCATTTAATTATTAATTCCGTGACATAATAAATATATTGTATATACATTTGAGTACAAATATAATAATATATATTATAAAGCGGTATTTGTGATTGATTGATTGATAAACATAAAGGTAGTGTAAAATACTTTGACGTGTTTAATTTTTAGTTATATTTATTTTATTTAGAAAGAACTATAAATATTTAACTTCAAATAATGCAAAAAATAATTATTGCTTAATTTTACCCTTTACATTTCACTCTGCAATAAGGCAAAAGCTTAGAACAATAGTTGATTCATATTTACTGTCTGTCACATATAAAGCATTTCGAAGAAGAAATTATCTAACAAGAAGATAATTCTTAAAAGAACTCGAGAAGTAGACTTCTGTTAAATAAATGTAAGATTACATTCATAGACAAAACCATAACACGAATATATTATATTCTTATATCCATTTGTATTGATGACAGTTGAAAAGGATTAATAATTTAAACATACACTCCTGTAAAACGTTACAAGAGCATAAATGCAATGCACTCACTAAAATCATACTCCATGCTCCAACTGTCATCAATTAATGCCTTCACTTGTATTTCTAATGAAATGAATTATCATATTTAACAATTCATTTAAACTAACCAACTGTTTTTGTTTATGCCTATAGAAACATACTCAGTGCACAACTATCTCAAAATGTCGGAAGCTGCTAATGATCCAATAATTAAAATTGAACCACAAGAATATCCAATCGAAGACATTAAAAATGAAATTGAGGAAGACCCTGAATCGTGTTCAGAGGATGACAAAACATGTCTAAGCAGATTTATGAACTCCATAGTGAAAATAGAAGAAAATGTCGAACAGGAATTAATTCAGACTGCTCCTTATAAATGTGACAAGTGTCATAGAACATTTAGAAAGTTGCATTATTTAGAACAGCATATGGTAAATTATTGTCATAAGGATACATATTGTTCAGAGTCTTTTTCAGATGCAAGTGCATTAGAAATACATATAAAATCTCATACAGGTGAAAAATATTTCACATGTACAAAGTGCAGTAAAGCATTTACTGAAAAATATCATTTAGATCAACACATTTGTGCTCGAGCCAGAGGAAAAATTTTACATTTGAATGAACATGGTAATCGAAAACGAAATATTCACGATAATACTGCAAAGGGACCAGGTGAACGTCCCCATATTTGCCAAGTTTGTGATAAGACATTCACACAATTGAATAACTTGAATCGACATATGCTGATTCACACTGGTGAACGTCCCCATATTTGTGAAATTTGTGACAAGACATTCACACAATGTATTTGAATCGACATATGCTATTCACACCGGTGAACGTTCTCATATTTGCCAAA